GCAGTCTTGGCAACTGTGATCTATTCTGCTTTGCTTTGGGGAATGTGATAAAGAGCAAGAAACAGCTGGTTTAAGAAAGCCTTAGAAACATCTCTTAGTTTATAAAGACAATAATAATATTTTCATATTTGAATGGGTTGAGATACATGTAAAACCACAGAAAAGGGAAAAAGTAAGTCAATTCAAAATGTTTGCTTAAGTCAATAAAACAACGCTGCAAAAAATCCCTGCACTCTTGGGATTTCAGAGAAAACAAGTACACACTGTACACACGCAATTAAAAAGCCCTCCTCCAGACATCACCCACTTAAACTAGCCCCTTTACTCAAATATGTTTATATTATGTTACAAAGTTGTGCTCATATGTCAAAAATGACTATTCACAAATTCATTCTTCATATCGTTATCAACTCTTTTTTCCAGTCTGTGTCGCTAGTAAAAAAAAAATCTTAACCGGTTTAATTATTTTCTCCTGTGTGGCATTATTTGTAAGTAGTGTTTGGACAAGGAAAAAAGCATAGTTTAAAAATGACAGTCTTAAACATATAAATAATTTACTACTGAGAATACCAAAGATGTTATTTAGAATAATAGTGTATTAAGACAGTATTTCTAAAAGAACCATCTTCTTGTGGTTATTTTGTTGATATAATTACAAGTGATAGCACACATTTGGTGACTGCCTTAGACAACACGGGTCAAATTCTGGTTTTGGTTATGTCCAGCTGACTCTACTGACTACAGTGAGGAAGTGTTAGGTTAGTTCGGAATTTGGTTGTTAACAGCATGTTGGAAGTGATTCAAAGATCACAGAAGTCTATCGAATAGCTCCCTTTGATTTCAATGGGCTTTAAACCCTGTGGAAAAAAGCATCAGTTTCTAGGGTAACAAAACCAGAAAAAACACTTTACTCATCAGCTTTCAGAGTCTACAGCAAACAGCCAGCATCCTTTATTTCTTGCATTTTAAAGCTATCTATCATTTAGAATAGCCTTTTGGACGGCCAGCTGCTTGTTTACATGATTTGAATGGACACGCTAATATTTCAACAAAGGTAGTAGTTTCAGGTGCCTTTGACAACAAACAGTCCTGTGTTTCATGGAGAGTTTAATAGCAGGGTGGCAAGAAAGCACTCAAAATATTTACCTCACTACATAAGATCCGCTGTGAGGACCCTGAGATACCCTGTCTTTGCTTGGGCAAAATCCGCTGGATATCAGTGAGGATTTTACCTAGTGAAGAGCTGGATCTATAACTGCTCAGGCAATATCAACATTTCAAAACAGACATCCTTTAGCCCCATACTTGTTATAGGTTTTACCTGGTATGTGACCTCTGCAAGTATAATAGAGTTCTTTACAATAGTCTTTGCACAGGTAGGGAAGAGTTAGTTCTCTTTCAGGTGTTTCCCCTTTCTCAGGTGAGTGGAATAGGTTCTGAGCGTGAGGTGAGCAGTGCGCACATTTGATTTCCTCCAGTAGCTTCGCACATTCTGTGTTGTTGGTAACAGAAAGTATCTGCAAGCCACAAACCAGAGACAAATAAACATACGACCCGTTTCCCCATCTTACACAAAAGAAGTTTGCATGATCTAATGTAATAAATAATGCTAGCAGAACCAATACAGTTAGTATAAATGCATCATGTTTCATGTCACCGTTCCCAAAGTGCAAAAATTGCAAATGTGCAATATGTCATTACTATAGTGAGATTTTAAGTGGTTGCTTCTCTTTCTCAGATAAGAATAATAGGACTCAAGTTATTTTATGGACTCATGCCCGCAATCCCTTAATCACATAGGCAATCTCTGAATTAGAGGGAACATTTATATACGGAGGAGCTACAGCGGCAGGCCTTCTACCCACTTCTCTTATGAGAAATACTTAAAAACCTAACTTGTAGGGTGACCTATTCAGGTATTTAGAGATTAAAAATTAAAATTCTACCATCAAAACACATCAGGAAAACCATATCTAGGTATTTGTTAAATAGGTGTATCTTGAACAATACCGCAGTCCAGCTACTGAAAGGACTG